TTGGCTAGCCAGTGCTTGTAACAGCCAATCAAATTAATTTACTATTTTTACACATTCATTAAACTGTAATGGCAGCTTCCTTCGCTGTTTTTATAACATAATTTGTTTGTATTGAATTTTTTTAAAGTTAGCTTATATAGTGCTTAGTGAAAACTTCAATATGTCAGAAAGTGAAATAGATGAAAGCATACTCACTGATTCTGATTTTAGTGATTGATCACCCTAATAATAATCAGGGCAGTAATGAGGAGGGCTTTAAATCTAGGTCTACACTAGTAACACTTCTAGATCTAGTAATGTAAAATGTTTTGTTTGTAAAATGTTTTACATGTTTCGGATGTTCCTTCAGAGTTGAAGATAATTACTTTCTAGTCCAAACCTCCCGCAGGACGACGGGGGATGGGAGCGGGCAGAGTTTGAACCCGGGACCATTGACAAATCTGAACGACAGTCCAGCGTGCAAACCGCACGAACAGGCAGCCATGTTGATGATGCCCATCCATGGTAGAATGGTTTAGAATAAGGAATGAGGAGCTGGATAGAGAAGACCCATATCAGTTTTTGGTTACTGGCAAATATGCCCCTATGGATTAGCACCATGTACACTGTTGTATGCTTTTTTAATTATCAATTTAGTTAAGATATTAGTTGTAATAAATATGATGCCAACTTTCTGATCAACAAACTAATCACAAGAAGATGTCTGAGTCATAAATTGGTGACTGTCACTGTGGCCAAAATGAAGACCTTTATTTCCATGATATAGTTGGGGGGAGGAGGAAAAGTCTCTGAAGGGTCTCCACCTTGTTTCCCTAAACTCAAGTAGCAGAACTTAGTCAGGCCTTGTTTCCCTAAACTCAAGTAGCAGGACTTAGTCAGGCCTTGTTTCCCTAAACTCAAGTAGCAGGACTTAGTCAGGCCTTGTTTCCCTAAACACAAGTAGCAGGACTTAGTCAGGCCTTGTTTCCCTAAACACAAGTAGCAGGACTTAGTCAGGCCTTGTTTCCCTAAGGCCTGAAACTTCTTAAAAACCTCTTTAATTTTTATTATTTTTTGTGTGTGTAAATCTGTGTGCATAGATTATGTACATTAGCTTTACCAATTTTTAAGAAATGTTAGTATTTCAGTTGGATTCTTTAAGATTATATGAGTTCATTCATTTCTCTTCAATAATAATAATATTTTGTGTATGTAAAATAATTGGTTTAATTTTTATTAATGTTTTTCGTACTAGAAGTGCTCAGTCTGTAAATAGTGCTCTGTCTTCTTGGCACCAAATGTGCTAAAAGTCACTGTCTCAAAAGGGTTAAAAATCATTCATTGCTACAAATATAACAAAGTTTAAATATCAGTGTCTCAACAGATTTTAGAAGAGTGTAATTCTAATTAAAATTGCATTTAATTTAAAGCCAGAAGTTTAAGTTGAAATAGACATTAAGTTGGTTTGTTTAACATAATTTTTTAACTGTTAATTTTACTTTTTTTTGAAATGTGTATTTGAAAAAATTTTTGTCAGGCTATACTAATGTTTTCTCTATCAAATTTAGGTTGGCCAATGCACTGCACAATCACCTGTACGTTCAGTTTCTGTCTATTTACCTGATCCATCTGTTAAATCATACATATTGCCACAAAAGATAACTTCCCCAGATAAAAAAGAATGCAATGAACATGCTTCAAATAAACAGATGCATGAAACATTTGGTAATCAAGTTTATTATGTAGCTACATTATTGAATCAACCATTTCTTTTGTAACTTTATTCATTTAAAGTTCATTACTACTGTAGATGTCATCAGATGTTTCATATTAGTTAAAATATATATATATTCTATATATATATAAAGAGTACATGTTCCTCTCTCTTTTTTGGGACAATTTTTTAATGTATTTGATTTTGCTTCAACTGATTTCAGTTTTATGTTATACATAATTAATATTATAATTTATAATTAATGTTATTTGCTTTATTTATTGCTTTTTTATTTTATTACAAGAATAAAATTATAAAGTATTATCACAGGTTACCATACATACAGGTTACTAGTACCAGCACTTATCAGAAATGAATTTACTTTGTTTTAATTGTTGACTTTCTTCAGATAACAAAAGAACTCTTACAACAATGGAAACTATATCAATATATTCCAATCCAAACAGTGCAATATCTCCTGACAAAATATTTGAAAGTGGTTTGTAACTATTCTATACTAAATATTATTTATATATATTATATATATATATATATATATATACTTTATGAAACAATGTGTGTATATATTGAAATTTACCATTTTACATACTCTAAATGCAGGCCTACATGAAACTGAACAATATTTTGAAATAAACTGTTCACAACTAGTGATATAATGAGACTCATTTATAAACCAGCCCTAGACATTTAGTATGCTATTGAGCTATCACAGAGGAAAAACATTGAATATCTAAACATCCATTTTTTTAGTACTAAATTTTACATTTGTATCTACAACTGATGGTGATCATTTTATCTATAGATATAATAACTTTAAATACAAATAATGACATAGAGGACAGATTAGGATATAATGAGTGCAATCCAATATAAACATTACACAATTTAATGAAGGACTTGGTCTTAAACAATCATGGCACATTTTAAAAACCCTTTTCTAGTTCTGCAGATACTATAGGGGCAATGTCTAACTAATATGTGGCTTAATTGGAGATCATGTTCACACTCAAAATTGATCACAATAATCTATTGTCTGATTGGTTAGATCCTGTTTACATTCTTTCAGCAATGAAATATAGTAGGAGAGAGAGAAAAAAGAAAGCAATAGAAAGAAATATGAAAGTGATATAATGGAATCCAAAGAAAAATGTAAGAAAGTGAAAAGAAGAAGATTGGGAGAGATTTTAAAATAAATGGAAAAACAAGGTCAAGGACACCATAAAGAAAGATAACTGTATGCCTACTAAATAATAAAAATGTCTTTGTCCTACAAGGGAAAGAACTCAAAATTTTGATTCTACAGTGCTGAAAAGTGCATAAAATTATAAATGGTTTATAAAAATACTTATCTATACCTCTGTATTCTGTATAGTGATTAACCAAAAATACTAGAATGGCTGTCTTACTATGAGGTATGTGCTCTGGACTATCATCTCAATGGTCCTGGGTTAGAACCCTGCTCACTGCCATCACAACTGTCCTTTGGAGTTTAAGGCTTGGATGTAATAATCTCCATTCTGTAGGAACATCCAAAAAAAGATAAGTTAACTCTATCTAGATTCGCCTCCAAAACAAGCTGCAATTTTGGTCATTTAATACTTCTTTGTTTACTATTTCTGAACATTTGGGAATTAACTTTGTGTCTTCTGCAGATACAGAAAATTTGTTAATGACAACTGTCAGACCTAGCTCAGTGGCTACCAATTCAACAGGTGCATGGCCTTCTGTCACAGAAGCAGTAGTAGAGCGCACTGTAGCTCTTGCCTCATCAAAGTCACAGTTCCAATCTAGGTCAGCAACATATTGCACACACAGAGACTTAAAACAAAGTTTCTTTTAATGTGATTTTTGTAACATTCTTTTATCTATTTAGACTAGATAGCAACTTAAGTACAACAACACTAGATAAGAACTTAAGTATAAAACACTAGAGAAGCAGCTCCAAGAATATCTGTCATAAATAATAGTTATTATTACCACTACCTTAACAACTGTTTAAAAACAATTACATATTCTATTTCTATAGCATATAAACAAACTGTGAAGTATAAGCTAACAGCCCTAAAATAATTTTTAAGACTACTATTTGCTGTTAATGGACAAAGTTCTTGGAAGACTTATTAAAGTCAAAAATTTTTTTTTTAAAAGTCTAGTTGTAACTCTGCACTTGCTCCAATAATTGTGGTGCACATCATTAAGAAGATAGACAAGACAGAATTGCCAGCCTAGAGTAAAAGATAATACTGGGTTCTGCTGAACTGAAAGATAATTAATTGTTGTTCCAAGGTTGTTAATGTTGATGAGCAACTTCCACAGCCCATACTTAGGTCCTCTAAGACCATTTGCCACATAAGGACAGCAAGCTCTCTCCACAGAGCTCAGTCACAGTTGCTTTCACTGTCCATACTTGGACTTAGGTCCTCCTACACCACTTAGCACATAAGACAGCAAACTCTCTCCACAGGGATCAGTCATAGTCTACTTTCACTGTCCATACTTAGGTCCTCCTACACCACTTGGCACATAGGGCAGCAAGCTCTCTCCACAAAGATCAGTCATAGTCTACTTTCACAGTCCATCTCCTCCTTACATCATTGTCTCTAGTGCCCTATTCATAAAGTTGCTTGCCATATATAGATAGCAATACTTACCAGGCCCACAAGTCATAAATTGATAGCAATATTTACCAGGCCTACAAGTCATAAATTGACAGCGATACTTACCAGGCTAACAAGTTAAAAATTGACAGAAATACTTACCAGGCCCATAAGTATTGGTTAAATGAAATGTTACCTTTTTTTTTTCAGCAGAAAGTTAGAAGAACATAAATCTAAGGTTCAAAGTGCTGAAATTCTAAAGATGGCTAAAAGTAAAGGTCAGTCTCCAGCACCACCTCCTCCTTCCCCAGAACTACGCAAACATACAGCACTAGCACTTCAGAATGCTTCTCAGTTGAATGAAGTCACCATTGATACTTTGGAAGAAAATGATGCTCGCACTCTTGCATGAGATGTTATGTTTAAAAATCGGTGATTTGTAAACTGGTTGGGTCAAAGAATTGTATTACAACTATATGACATTAATATCATTTCCAGACACATTAAGAGACATTGTAGGCTACATGTTTATCAGATTTGAACAATAGTCTCTTAAGGTTTGGTAATACATTACATTGCGTGTATTGCTTTTTCTTTTAATATTGCAGACATTATTATTTTTATCATGTTACTTTTCAGACAAATTTTTACATATTATAAAATTATTGAGATGCAAATGTTTTATTGTGACAACTTTAAATTGTTACCTCCCCTGTTTTCATGATTAACATGCATAGTGCTGATTGACTCACTCAAGCCATAATAATATGAGGGACAGCTATCAACCACAAGCTATTGCTTTTGTTTTGTTGACACCCTTGCCATATCAAATGTTTTGATAGACAACAACTGACATTTAGATTGCTAGAATTAGTAGTAGAGAAAATCTAGAATGAATTCTGTTCCACAAATATTTCAATCTATTTCCCTAGCAAAGAAGCTGGAGTTTATATATTGTTTTATTTTCTTGATTCCATTTCAGATTGGTACAAACAAATATGTCTTTAGATTGGTACAAACAAATATGTCTTTAGATTGGTAAAAACAAATGTCTTTAGAATGGTACAAACAAATGTCTTTAGATTGGTACAAACAAATATGTCTTTAGATTGGTACAAACAAATATGTCTTTAGATTAGTACAAACAAATACATTATAGAATTTGACAAAAGGCTAGATCTTAGAAGTTGTTTTTGAGTTAAATCTTAAAAAAAAAAAAAAAAAAGACATTCTTCTTCAATAATTAGCTACATAAAAGATGCCAAACATGAAGAATGTCATTTTCATCCTATTTCAACATTTAATAAGATTAAGAAGTCAAGATGTTCTGTATATAAGCATTGGCATATTAAATGTTTAATGATAATATTATTTTGCTTTAGAAAAAACAAACTTTGCTGTTCTCTATAGTGATTATCACATAGGCCTAGCTCTTTGTTCATCTATTTTTGTTATTGCTTTGTGCCTTGAAAGCAGTGTGCTCTTATTCTCAACTGATATGCTCAACTTTTTTAATGAGGTTTATGAAGTAATCATGAAGAAGTCATGTTAAATGTGATGTGCTTGTTCAGGCTGTCTTGAGGTCAACTATAGATGACTGTTGAATTTCAACCAATTACTCTGCAAGCGTTTGAGTTTTATTGTTCGGGTGTATTCAATGTAGTTGATCAACAATACAGAATAAACAAGACGATCGATTTAACGAGTAAAGAGATGTGGTCAACACTGATGAACAGTTCATACTATATTTATTCCAATAAAGGCCACAGTAAAAATCTCTGTCAAAATAAACATGTCTTTACCCTAGAGAATTCGCTAACTGATTTTCTGGTCTCTAACCCAACATATCCCAAACGTCACTAGTCCCGTTCAATACACGTCTTCTATGGTGCGTCGCTAAAAAACTAATACTATAAATAAGGTGTCTAACATAAACTATGATGCCAGATCATTTGTTCTGGTTTCCTTTAATGTTCAGCATTAAGAAATAGTCTTAACATTTTGCATGTCTTTTTTCAAAATGAAATGATTTGCTCAAATGTTAGGTTTCGGTTTTTAGGAGCATCTTTTTTTTTTTTTTTAAACTTCACCATACAATTGTTGAAGTTCATACAATTTTAGTAACTGTCAAGTTTATGTTATGGATTGAAGTGTTAAGTGATAAAAGACATTTTAATTCAAATTTAGAAAGTTTGATGTGACAATTAGTGTCTTACTGATGAATTGATAACAAAGATTAAAAGATTTGCAAAATTTTTATATTGAAATTGTGTGTATTTTATGTTAGAATGTCTGTATCTAGCAGTTTCTTTATTTGTGCACAAGCAAAATTCAGATTTGTATGGAATAAACTACCTTAACATAATCCTGAAATAAAAACTCCAATACTTTCCTTAAATCAACTCAACAAGTATCTATGAATTATAAAAATCAATTAAATGTAATAATATCACTAAGACTAGATTTAACAATCCAAATGAATAAACCAACAAACCCAAATCTAGACTTGTCTTTATACTTTATATATTAACTATTTTAAATCAATATCTTTCAGATTTTTCCAGCACTAAATACTAAATGGAATTTTGTTAGTTACTTTTAGTAGGAAATACTAGTTACAATTTTCACTACGAACAAAGTTAACAGCATGCCTCTTGCTCTTGCCAGATTGGTTAACAAAAGTGAATAATGAACAAAAAAATGTCTTTGTCTAACAATAAAAATGTTGGGGATATTAAGAGACACTTGTTTACAAAAGAATTCAATTATCTTCAAAATATTTTAACAAAAAAAGGTTAAATATTTACAAAAATATTAATTTTAGTACAAAAAATGAGTTTTAATATTTACACTTAAAACTTTACAGTAGTTTTAGAAAACAAAGTCAAAAAATAAAATGGTAAGTATATGCTGCTGTATTTTTAAACAAATAGAAACATAAAAACACATTTGAATATATGTAAAAAAAATTTTTTGAAATTTCCTATTCACTAGTATTCTATAGTATAACTGGGTGGCCGATTGTGATTACATAAACTAAAACCCTAATTAATAACTCAAAAATCCCATTCAGCCTTATTTCCATATTAGATTTGCAGGTGTAATTATAAAAAATCAGATGAATGAATTCAGCTTCTACTTAGTAAAGGAAATAGTTTTGCTGAACAATGGGACATTCATGTGTAATACCTATTAGAATATATAGAGATATTACCACTCTTATATAAGTGAGTTTGAAATATGATACTTTACCAGTAACAGAATAAAGTAGTTACTGATTTGCACAAATTTTATGCCAAAAAAAACAACATATACAAATATAATATATACACACATATGTACTGACAGATACAAGCTACTCAAGCACTCATTCAAGTCATATGCACTGAAAACTTAAAGACTACAAATGATTAACATTATATATAGTATAACACACTCATAGGGACTATTTCTTTAATTTTTTCACAAATTGTACTCCTTCTTTAAAAAAACCAGCTTGTCCATCAATAGTTTTAAACAAATCATCTTTGTGTCTTTTCCTCCTGTAAAGATAAAAAAAAAAGTATCAAGTTAAAGACCTTTATTTCAATGATATTGGGTTTTCAACATTGCAGTTGGTGATTTTAATATAGTCTATGATTAGTGGCATTCAGAGGCACTCAATTTAATGTTTAAGTATAGAATTAGTTTCAGATCACAATTTGTTTAGTCAACTGGTATTAATAGCTTTGAATTCTAATTTTTAAAGTTTACAGAATAAAATTGATTACAGATTGATCTCAAAGCCCTGACAATCTAATGAAAGCATTTAATGGCAATCTAATCAAAGCCCTGAATGACAACCTAATCAAAGCCTTCAATGACAATGTAATCAAAGCCTTCAATGACAATCTGATCAAAGCCCTGAATGACAATCTAATCAAAGCCTTCAATGACAATCTGATCAAAGCCCTGAATGACAATCAAATCAAAGCCTTCAATGAAATCTGATCAAAGCCCTGAATGACAATGTAATCAAAGCCTTCAATGACAATCTGATCAAAGCCCTGAATGACAATGTAATCAAAGCCTTCAATGACAATCTGATCAAAGCCCTGAATGACAATCAAATCAAAGCCTTCAATGACAATCTGATCAAAGCCCTGAATGACAATGTAATCAAAGCCTTCAATGACAATCTGATCAAAGCCTTCAATGACAATCTGATCAAAGCCCTGAATGACAATCAAATCAAAGCCTTCAATGACAATCTGATCAAAGCCCTGAATGACAATGTAATCAAAGCCTTCAATGACAATCTGATCAAAGCCTTCAATGTCAATCTGATCAAAGCCCTGAATGACAATCAAATCAAAGCCTTCAATGACAATCTGATCAAAGCCCTGAATGACAATGTAATCAAAGCCTTCAATGACAATCTGATCAAAGCCCTGAATGACAATCAAATCAAAGCCTTCAATGACAATCTGATCAAAGCCCTGAATGATAATGTAATCAAAGCCTTCAATGACAATCTGATCAAAGCCTTCAATGTCAATCTGATCAAAGCCCTGAATGACAATGTAATCAAAGCCTTCAATGACAATCTGATCAAAGCCCTGAATGACAATGTAATCAAAGCCTTCAATGACAATCTGATCAAAGCCCTGAATGACAATGTAATCAAAGCCTTCAATGACAATCTGATCAAAGCCCTGAATGACAATGTAATCAAAGCCTTCAATGACAATCTGATCAAAGCCCTGAATGACAATCGAATCATAGCCTTCAATGACAATCTGATCAAAGCCCTGAATGACAATGTAATCAAAGCCTTCAATGACAATCTGATCAAAGCCTTCAATGACAATCTGATCAAAGCCCTGAATGACAATCAAATCAAAGCCTTCAATGACAATCTGATCAAAGCCCTGAATGACAATGTAATCAAAGCCTTCAATGACAATCTGATCAAAGCCTTCAATGTCAATCTGATCAAAGCCCTGAATGACAATCAAATCAAAGCCTTCAATGACAATCTGATCAAAGCCCTGAATGACAATCAAATCAAAGTCTTCAATGTCAATCTGATCAAAGCCCTGAATGACAATGTAATCAAAGCCTTCAATGACAATCTGATCAAAGCCCTGAATGACAATGTAATCAAAGCCTTCAATGACAATCTGATCAAAGCCCTGAATGACAATGTAATCAAAGCCTTCAATGACAATCTGATCAAAGCCCTGAATGACAATGTAATCAAAGCCTTCAATGACAATCTGATCAAAGCCATGAATGACAATCAAATCAAAGCCTTCAATGACAATCTGATCAAAGCTCTGAATGACAATCAAATCAAAGCCTTCAATGACAATCTAATCAAAGCCTTCAATGACAATCTGATGAAAGCCTTCAATGACAATCTGATCAAAGCCCTGAATGACAATGTAATCAAAGCCTTCAATGACAATCTGATCAAAGCCCTGAATGACAATGTAATCAAAGCCTTCAATGACAATCTGATCAAAGCCCTGAATGACAATGTAATCAAAGCCTTCAATGACAATCTGATCAAAGCCCTGAATGACAATCAAATCAAAGCCTTCAATGACAATCTGATCAAAGCCCTGAATGATAATGTAATCAAAGCCTTCAATGACAATCTGATCAAAGCCTTCAATGTCAATCTGATCAAAGCCCTGAATGACAATGTAATCAAAGCCTTCAATGCCAATCTGATCAAAGCCCTGAATGACAATGTAATCAAAGCCTTCAATGACAATCTGATCAAAGCCCTGAATGACAATGTAATCAAAGCCTTCAATGACAATCTGATCAAAGCCCTGAATGACAATGTAATCAAAGCCTTCAATGACAATCTGATCAAAGCCCTGAATGACAATCGAATCATAGCCTTCAATGACAATCTGATCAAAGCCCTGAATGACAATGTAATCAAAGCCTTCAATGACAATCTGATCAAAGCCTTCAATGACAATCTGATCAAAGCCCTGAATGACAATCAA